TTTCATAAAAAGAGCATCATACCAACAGTCAAACATGGTGGTGGGTAGTGTGATGATCTGGGGCTGCTTTGCAGCTTCAGCACCTGGACGACTTGCCATAATTGATGAAACCATGAATTCTGCACTCTATCAGAAAATCCTGAAGGAGAATGTCCAGCCATCAGTTTGTGACCTCAAGCTCAAGCGCACATGGGTTATATAGCAGGACAATGATCCCAAACACACCAGCAAGTCCAGCTCTGAATGGCTCAAGAAAAACAAAATGAAGGTTTTGGAGTGGCCAAATCAAAGTCCATTTGAGATGCTTAAACAGTCCATTCATGCTCGAAAACCCTCCAATGTGGCTGAATTAAAACAATTCTGCAAAGAAGAGTGGGACAAAATTCCTCCACAGTGATGTGAAAGACTCATTACCAGTTATCGCAAACACTTGATTGCAGTTGTTGCTGCAAAGCGTGGCACAACCAGTTATTAGATTTAGGGCGCAATTACTTTTTCACGTAGGGCCAGGCAGGTTTGGACAGCTTTTTTCCCTTAATAAAAGAAATCATCATTTAAAAACTGCATTTTGCATTTACTTGCATTACCTTTGTGTAATATTACAATTTGTTTGATGATCTGAATCTTTTAAGTGTGACAAATATGCAAAAAATAAAAAAAACAGGAAGGGGGCAAAAACCTTTTCACACCACTGTATATAACTGAAAGTGTGCTAGTGTTCAATGAAACCGTGTTTACAGGTGTGTGTCTGGGGCTCAGCTCATTGCACTCAGACTTCCTGAGTGAAAGAGAGAAGATGATCCACTGTATGCGCGCCAATCAATATCTATCCTAAAGCACATAACCTGGACAGACTCCAAGAATAAATAACAAACCAAGAGAGGATGCAAAGGACAATATGACTTTGTAAATGGTTCAGTTTTCAAGAGGAAGAACTGTACAAATCATCACACATGATTGGTTGAGTATTTGGCCAATCAATACAGTGGGCTTCTTTTTATTATTATCAGTCTAAAAAGGCACAGCCACAGACCACACATAGTGCCTTCACTGACTGGCTTGTGAATACTACACACATAAATGATAAGAACCACAATGACACTACAACGTTTGTGAGTAGGAGTGGAAGTGAAGTATGTTTTTTTCCAGGTACAGAGTTGATAAAATAAGAGCTTCTGGGGAAAAAACTCAATTGTTAGAACTTATTGGCAATGTAGTGGTATTTCATTTGAGGTGCTTGATAGCTCATAAACTTAAAATTCACAAGTATGATGGGTTTTGGCCAAAATAAGCACTAAAATAGAACAGATTTATGTCGTCAGTGAAAAGTCTGTTCCATTTGTATGTGACACTAGCTTTCACTGAAGTTTTTATTGCTGCCAGTTCAGCTTTCTGTTTTTCTGTCCCAAAACTATCAAGCTCTTCAAAAGTTTAAATGAATTTGACCAAGAACCCTAAAGCATTATCCTCAGAAGAGTACCTCTGAGGAGTCCTGACTTAGGTAATAATTGTTAAATCTTTCATTTTTGAGGGGTTGACAGGTAAACATTTTTTAAGTGTTTGAAGCATTGCCGAGTTACTTGAAAAAGCCAACTACAGCTTCTCTTAGAACAATAAAGTGTCGAACATTTTCAGAATATAAGAACAATTAATATTTCGTTTTAATATTAACCCAAGTGTTGCCACTTCATAGGGCCACAAATGAAGAACCATTTCCTTTACACTGTGTCCTAATCCAGTACAAAGCAACGGCTTTACGGTATCTCACCTCATCCACGTTTTCGAAAGCGTTGATGATGTCATAGGGCAGACAGGACAGCAGGTCTATTACGAACCAGGTCTTCAGGTAGTTCATCCTGATCAGCTTCGGATCCGAGATCACCTCCCCTCCTGGCCCGACAAACGTGGTGTGGAAGTTAAGCACGATGTCCACAAGGAATATGACATCCACAACGCTGTCCAGAACCAGCCACGTGACATTATTCTGTTTGGTCTTGAAGGAGACATTGTAAGGAACCATGATGGCGGTGTAGAAGGTCAGGATGAGGATGACCCAGTCCCAGGTGGTCTTAAATGTGCAGTAGTGTAAGATGATGTGAGGTGGGGTCTTAGGGGCTTCCTGCTTATACTGCGGAAGAATGTCAGAGCCGAGTTGAAGCACCTAAGACAAATGAGACAAAAAGAGATAAAGGGAGAGAAGGATCTGAGACAAAGAAGAAAAGAAAAATATTAAAATGAGAAGAGAGTTAAAAACCAATGCAAGTTAATTTTCACATTTTTTGACATGAATATTTCTTTTGATTGTAGGAAAATGCATGGTGAAATGGTATAATTTGACCAAATTTATTTTATATAATTTATACATTTTTAGAATTAATCAATCTAAATTGAAAGCCATAATTTGTTTCTTTTCAGTACTTCTGACATAAAAGGAAGATTATCTTAAGAGACTGAGAGTAAAAATGAAATTAAATACAGTGAGCCTTCAGGAAAGTGAGTTTGTATTAAATATTAATACTAGCACTGGAAATTTTCTGTTCTTCCTTGGACAATACACAATGCATATTTGTTTAAACAGAACATGAGATTTAACAGAATTTCCCTCCTAGAGACAATGAAGATCAGAAGATAATGGAGGGTGAAAGATCGTTTGAGATCATTTATCGATCTGCACTATTTTTAAATTGTTGGTTGCAAAAATATGTTTAATGGAGATGCAAGAAAAGAAACCTGCAAAATGGCTGCATATTGTCTGTTACATTTTGAATGGTAATAATTATGTCCGTGTTAATCAAGAGGAGACCTTAGTTTTATATTTAAGAAAAAATATGTTTTAAAACGAATTTTAAAATTTAAAGCTTACAAAAAGAAAAAAAATTCAAGTCAAAGATTCAATCGACAGCATCTATGACACATTTGTGGCAAAAAAAAGATTTTGACTAGCTCCTTATTTTCTTCACAAAAAGGCAAACTTCAAGGTCACATTGATGCACACCGTACAATGGAAGTGAAAAGGGACAATTTTGGAGTATTTAAAGCAATGACCAACAGATGAGAAAAGCAGAAACGTGAACAGGGGTTATGGGACACACACATACACTCCTCATCAGTGTTAATTATTAATAGCAGCTTCTGGCAGCCCACTGTTGACTTCTGCTGTCCAACAGACACGTGTGAGATTGCGTTACAGCAGCGTCCTGTGTGTGTGTGTGTGTGTGATTCTATTACAAGTTTGTCCTCCATGAGATGAAGTTTTGAATAACCTTGTACTGCACAACCAAGGATGTAAGCAAATGCTGCCTGTCTGTGTGTGTGTGTCTGTGTGTGTGTGTGTGTGTGTGTGTGTTCTCACCTCTGCAAGTCTGGAGTGTTTGTGTGAAGTGATGTCGGTTCTGCTCATGGGCGTGAGCTGCTGAATGGTGCTTTTGCTGGTCGTCAACGCTCGAGTCAAACGTGCAAACTTGGTCCAACCTAAAATAAACATGTTTTTTATTAAAAAAATGCTACGCTGAATTGAAAGACAGATGCAATGTGTTCATAATATACATTACATGTGTCTTTCAGTTCAATTCAATTCTGTGGTGCTTTTATTAAAGAATCTGCACAATTGAATTCAATTCAGTATTTTGCGTTAATAAAAATTGTGTACAAATGAATTGAACTGAAATTGTTTTTATTATTTTACTGAGCATCTTGTGCTTTAATGAAAGCATGAATCTGACATTTTATACAAGAAGTTTCACAAGCTCATTGTCATTTGCTAAGTTTGTTGATTTGATTAATTAATGAAAATATTGTGGATTGTAGCAAAGTTTTTTTTATACATATATTTTTGAAGTCTGCATTTATTTGATCAAAAATATAGTAAAAACAGTAATATTGTGAAATATTATTGTAATTTAAAATAACAATTTTCTATTTTAATGTATTTTAAAATGTAATTTATTCCTGTGATGGCAAAGCTGAATTTTAGCAGCCATTACTCCAGTCTTCAGTGTCACATGACGCTTCAGAAATCATTCTAATATGCTGATTTGTTTATTATCATCAATGCTGTTAATATTTTTGTGTAAAATGTGACTTTTTTCAGTATTTTTTGATGAATGGAAAGTTCAAAAGAACAGCATTTATTTGAAATAGAAGATTAATGTAACATTGCAAGTCTTTAACTGTACAATTTAAAGCATCCTTGCTGAATAGAAGTATTAAAGTATTACTGACCTTTTTGAACAGTATAAGCACACAACAAAAACATTAATCCAAAACATAAGTCCTCTGTGGCTCAGATATGAGCAAAAGTGTGACAAATGTTTGCTGTCACTGCTGCAATGATCCTACAATGAAATAGAACTGCTGGAACACTGTCTGGAGCTGTTTCAAATCTCTCTCTCTTTTAATCTATGCGTGTAAAGCTCATCTCACACACACTGGTGAATCTCATGCTAACATGTTCACATCACATTTCAACCCAAAGTCATTTAGCATAATAAAAAATTTAATTCTCATTACTGTAACATAATTCCCCTTTATTCTCAATAGTGATATATACATAGCAATGTTTAATACACCAAAAGTGGTTTGTTATGATATTCCATTCTGTGTGATGTCTAGTAGTTATTTTTGGCAACTTAACGTGTTTTTCTATGGTTTAGAACACAGCTAAAAGACATATTCTGCATTCACCAGCATAAGTAAGAAACTTTAGAAGTGTTAGCCTGTTCATATATTTGTTTGAAGTCTCACTTACTGTTCTTTCTGTACAGCAGCACTTCAAAGCAGTTGGACTCATAGTTGTCAAAGGCCTGTCTCACCTTTTCTATGGTCTTCTTGTCTGTCAGCTCCCCATACATAAAACTACAGAGAGAGATTATTCAGACAGACAGGCAGTAATCTCCTATTTTCAAACCAAATCATTTGGTTTAAGAAGAAATGGTCAGTTCTCCCTGCAGTCAAATGTTTTAAAGATTAAAAGATTACAGAGACTTGCTGAAATTCATATGCAACACACACATGAAGCACAGTGTGACCAATTATTACATCTTAGCCTGTTTGTTTCTGTTGCAGTCACAGATAAAAGTTTATCAATGACACAAAATTGTGCGTTGTAAGCATGGCAAGAAAAGATGCTTTAAAGTGTGGTATGGAGTCTCTAAGACCTGCAAGACAGTATATCTGTGGCTCAGCACTTTATGACAGCCACTTATTGAAATGAGATTTTTTTTGCCACTGCGATGCCAGACCATGGCTTGGCCAAAAAGATACTTTCATCTATTTAAACTTAAATTCCAAATTCCTAATACCAAACTCGTTTACATCAGTTCACAAAAGAATAACCAGTAATGTCACAGTACCAGAGATTTCAAGATTCGTTTAACATTAGGCAGAGCCAAAGTGATGTAACGCCTCAAGATTATGACGACATCTTGGTTTTGTAGGAATGAGTCCACATGGATCCACAACAAATAATTTAAAGCTTCAGTCTTAAACTCTTTTGTTGTTTTATTCAACAGGCTCCTTAAGGTACTGCAAAACCAGAGATCTCAATACAGCATGAACTGTGTAACAATATTCCTACGGATTTCTATTGTCACGTGTATAGCCACTCACCTGCATGTGCTGCTTTTCTGCATGACCTCTGCTCTGTGGTATCCAGACAGCTTGCAGAAGCCATCATTACTATAAACTACAGGCCAGTCCACAATCTGAGCGTTCCCCAGCAAGAAACTTGTCTCTGAAGGTTCAGAGAAGATGACAAAGAATAAAAGAGGGAGCAGGCATTAGTGATCTGACACACACTAATGCATTCCCAGTCTTTGCTTCACAGTAAATGACTGTCACTGATCTACTTCAACATCTGGTGTACTCTCTATAAAATGTAGATCTTCAAAAGCTCGAAAAACAAAGCTACAAAATGTTGTCCTTCTTACTGCAGAATGTGAATGGGTGTTTTAAAACCTCGTATTAGATTTACATTGAAAACATTTTTCCTCACTTTAACTATCATGTGTTATATACTATAATCCTCAGATAAGTGTTGTTTTTGATGCACTATAAAGAAATCAGACACAAACAGCATTACTGTGACATGAAATTAGAGATGATGCTCCCTCTAGTGGTCACAAACGCAACAGTCCGCGATTTGCCTCGGATCCCTAAAAACCATCAAACGGACTTCATGCCAGTCCTGATGTGCTGCAGGAGCAGAGATGTGGAGTGAAATTACATTGAGTGCCTTTTTAGTCACCTGAACGAGAAATGCCTAATTATATTAAATTGCATAGGTTATAATAATTAACAGTACACAATAATTGTCTCAATTACGGCTGCTTAACGTGTTATTGTTTATTAGAATTAGTACATTTCTCCAGATGTTAAAATTCTACAATTTTTTTTGTTAATTATGTTTTATTGAAGAGCTCAAATTCACTTGACTCAAAATAATAAATAGATTTGGAGTTAGATAAATAATAAATAAACGTTAGATTAAATAAATACGGTCTCTAAAACATCAATTCTGCAGCACGGTGAAAAATTAATATTTTTTATTAGATTACATAAAGTGCATTTGCAATGAAGACTGCTTCATGAAGTTTCTTCATTGAACTCGTATTTTATCTCAAAAACGCCTCAATCACTCAACAACGAACATCATGGTGTAAATAATGCATTGAAAGAAATCACAATAAATTAAACAAACTAAAAGAAAAAATACGTTATTATTAAGTTAAAGCATTAACATTTTCCATCACACCGTCCATGTTTCATATATTAAATGCAATATGAAAATACAAATAACTGTGCAAAACAGCTCCATATTAATTACGTATTTAGTTTGAATTACTGACTAATCAGTATGTAAATGCAGAGCAACACCGTCACTGTAATATCAAGTGACTAAAGCATCTCAGAACGCATAAGCGTGCTCCTCACCACTCGAGCGTCTGACGATATTCTCCAGGAAAGTGTTTTGCGGTGCCACCAGCCCTCTCTTTCCCCCGGGCATCGTGCGGCTGTGGGTGTCGCGCTGCTCTCGTCAGGTGGGCACTCTCTGCGCGTGGAGTCTCTGCCGGTGGAGCGGGGAGGCTCATGGTAACGTTGCACGCTGGCTGCCCTGGTGCTTCTGTGTGCCACCCGCGCGCGCTCTGGGCTCAAAGCTACAAGTCGGTGGGCACGGGGAGCTCCCCGCGCATGCGCAACTGCGCCGACGCGCACAGGCAGGGATCTCCGGCACCAAGCGCGTTAAATGCGCAAGAGTGCACAACAACTCCACTGCACAGAAAAAAGGATAGCTCTTAAGCGTTCTATTGTAATACTTGACATTGCAAAAATATAAAATGAAAATGTCAAAAAGTCACATTTCTGTAATAGTAGCTACAAGGGACTACTAGTTGGCACAAGGGTTGTATTTCAGTAAGTATAAGATTTTGAGTCAAAGGTCCAATTACACATAAGTGTGTTTTCTTTAGCAGTGGTTTGAAATGTTGGTTTTAAACATAGAATCCTGTGTAAATCCTCTTAAATGTGAAAGTGAATTATAAATCTAAAATTTTCATATCATACTTTTACTTTAGTCGTGTGAACACAATAAAACACATTATATTCAGTATATACATTCTCAGAAAGTAAAAAATAAAAAAAGTACAAAAGCTGTCAATGGGGCACTACCCTTTCAGAAGATACTAATGGTAAAAATATGTCAAATGCATCCTTTAGGGATAATTAAGGTACAAAGATGCAACTTTTGAAAGGGTACCATCCCAGTGACAGCTGTTGTACTTTTTTGAGAGTGTATCAAAAGTGTCAACTATAAAATGAAAGCAGATACCTGAAATATTGAACTGTGTTCAAAGGACAAGATTGTTTCTCAGTAATGTCAGGTTAAGGCAAGTGGCCACATAAAGGGGTTCTTTCTACATCATATTTGTTAGTAAAAACAATGGTTTTATTTTTCCTTATAATTCATTGATTCACTCATTCATGTTACCCTTTAAATTTTTACCATTTCATAAATTGTTTTGAGTTTCACAAGTCCTTTACTTCTAAACAAGACGCTTGACAGATTAAATATAAAGCGATGTAATTAGCACAGCATGTCCAAAATGAAACTTATTGACAGTTAATGTGGATTTGATTAGGGTGAATATTATTATTATCTGAAATATGACAATATTTTGTGAGGTACAATTAATTTACAGAAAGCAAAAGTACAAAATAAAATCAAGGGCCAGGTCACAGCCAGGAACATACAGTAGTATAGGAGGTTAATCAACCGAAGACATTGAGAAATATTCAGAGGGACATTTCCCTATATTCAGATTACTGGTTGACTAATAATAACGGTTTATTTAATTAATAAAACTTTACCTTTGGTCCCCTGAATGCTTGAATATTTAGTTCCTTGTCTCCTTGTCACAGCTGGCCTATGCAGGACAAAGTTCCTAGTTGTCCTTTCCTAAAAAACAGCCCTTTTAAGACCCATTTGTACACAGGCTTACGCAACAGATGACAGCATGCACAAAAATCCGCCAAACTCTGTATAGAGTTGCTTCTTTAAGACCCCACGTATCTGCTTCAGTGCTGTCGGCTTGTGCCTGCCCTTTCATTTCTATTAAGCTTTAGTCACTGAAGGCTCTCTCTCTGATGGGCCCCTCACAGGGCCACCTGCCAACAAACAGACATGATGAATGGGGTGATAAAGAAGAGACTCATACTGAGTGAGTCTACATCAACATATTCCTTTAGTTTAAAAAAGCAATCTGTTAAAAGCAATCGGCTTTGAGGTCTAAGAGGAACATGAGACTATAACTTGGATACAACACTGATCAAGAAATGGGAATGGTGTAATTTTAAAGTCAGGCATTGCATAATCCATACTTTGGCACTGCAGGGGTGCAACAGCAGTCACCAGGCTAACTGCCGTATTTGAACTCTTGAAGATGTCCAGGTCAATTACCAAACCACAGGGTTTCAAGCCCACATGCAGAAGCTCACTAAAAACCTCCTTTTCTGACATTATGGTGAATAGTGCACTTATATGGTTACATAAGCAACATAAAAACATGTTATTAGGAGAAATCTCACAAAAACGTGTCCGGGTTCACGTTTCTTCTTAATTAAAAGAAAGAAATAAGAAATAATATGCTGTACACAGAAAATGAAGTCTATTTAAGACCATTTTTAATTGTAATACATATATTTATAATATTTGTATTTAAATAAATATACAAATCTATTTAAACAAATGTTTATACACATAAATCAGCAAAAACCTGATTTACAATTATACTTAAAATGTCATCAAAATATTTTTTTCATAAAAAATAATTATATATATATATATGCGTGTGTGTGTGTGTGTGTGTGTGTGTATGTATGTATGTATGTATGTATGTATGTGTGTGTTAAAATGCATTACAGTAATACCAGCTGGGGAAGTGATTTAATAATTTTTTTAATAAATAGAATTTAATGGTTGTATAAATAAAATTAAGCCTATTTTAGAACCAATAAGATGGATTTTTAATTGTTTCCATGCCAATTAAGTACATTTTCCCCAAATTTCAGTAATATGTCCAGTAATAATTCTAACTATTCATATTAGTTTAATACAGAATATATATTATCCCGGTTTCTTATGTGTTTCTGATTTCAGGGAGAAACATGGTCTGGATATGTTATTGATAGGCTTTGATAAATTCACCTAGTTCATATCCTAAAATACTGCACAGCAAAGAACAGAATGCACAAGAAAATATTCAAGAAATCTGAGAGCCGTCAACATTCATTCAATTTACTCACACTCACAAGCTGGCTCACATGCTTTGTCTTTGCAGTTAGAACAACATGTGAGACAAAGTGCAGATATTCATGACAGAGAAAAAGAAATAAAACACATAAGAAACAGGAATAAAGGACTGGGGGTGAAAGAGTGGTGACGTGCAAGGAGGAGGGAAATACAATTGTCCCAGCTGGGAACTTTAAAGGAGGCCAAAACTCATTCCTTAAGACATAATCTGATTACTACAGCTCTGTTGGTTCTTACAAAAGCAACACAGTTTAGGCTTGACAGCATGAACCTCAAGTGATCGATATATTCCCAGATGTTTAATAATTCAAATTTCACTGTAAATGTCACAGACACAGATCACAGGGGAGGGCTGTGACCTCACTCTACTTCCAGAGACGGCGACACACTGTGTGACTGCAGATATACACACATTAAACTACACAAAGTCATATACACACACTCTCTACTGTATTCACCGACACACGTTTGCTTAATCTCGCTCACGCATACACATACAAAAACCCTGCCATCTCTCCATTTCTCTGCATCGATTGTGACTGTTAATTAGCCCGTGAGCATATCGGTCTTTCTTTTTGGTCTCCCTCTTTCTCTCTCTGTGATGACCATATACAGTCAGATATCAAAAGTTCTTCCTAATTAGAATCCGTTTGAACCTCACTAAAAATATCCGGCCGATAAGTCAACCTCTGAATCTGAAAGCAGAGAGGTTTCCCTAAGCAACTGTGACAGGGTCAGAGATGGAATGATAACTTCACAGACATGACATACTTTCCTTTGTCGTTACACCATTAGTGGTCTCTATAGCACTGCCAAACTTTCCTTAAGAGGACTGAATTACAATACATGGCCTTTCCATTAAGTGAGCTAGATATGTTAGAGTCAACATACCCATTTTACTTCTGTATTGTGCCACACCTCAAAGCAAAATGGGATATTCAATGGAAAAACTATAGGATGGTACTTGATTTTATCCATCAGGATTTGATTAAAAATGAAAAGTAGGTGTCCCATACCAGAATGGAACCAAACTTGAATGTGAGTTTGCAGTCAATTTCAAAAGACTACCAACTTTTGAACCACAATGTGGAGGCTGAAGGTCAAGACTGTCTCATAACAGTTTAAATATTTTGCACACAACAAAATGCATTACTTACAATAGTAGCATTCACCATTGAATAACAAATAACCCATGCGACCCAGGCAATGTCAGCTGAAAAGGAGACATTTAAGAGGAGGAGCAAGTTCCATCTTAGTAGTGATTAAATTATAGTAAAAAAAAATAAAAATAAAATTGTATTATTTAATTACGGAATTAATCTTTACAGATTAAATGCACACTGATGTGAGTAACACAACCTGCTAAATTCACTAAATTCAGATTTGATTTTCAAAAGAACAACAGTTCGAAATATGGACGTATTGTGTAACAGTGAGTGCTAATACAATGGACATAATCGTTCCTCTTTCAGAGGCGTTTTCTTCCTTCATAGCAGTCAGGTGAGAAGTTTCTAACAATCAAACGTGTGGTCAGTACAGTTCACAGAACACGGCTTCAGTGAGTCACAGCAGGACTCCAGCATCTGAAATTGACAGACACACTGGCCTATTCCCATCAGGGAATGAAATGAGAAATAACAGGCAACAATAAAAGAGCAGAACTGAAGATTTCCAAATGCAGCAGCATGGTTTTTCACAGCATGATTCAAATTTGTCTTTTAATACGAGTTAAACTTCAGATTTAGGTGTCAGGCTGCCTCTATATTTAAGCACATCATCAACAGCAGCATGTCCCAGAACTGACCTCACGTGGCGTAAGTGCTGTCACTCAAAACAATAGTCTTCCTGGAACCAATAAGATTAGATGCCGTCCTCCTACTAAGTAGGAAATATTTGTTCCCTGAAGTCACAGAGTCCATGAATCTGTTTGTATGCAGTCAGATAAACACACGTCGTGCTGCTGCCGGTGATGTCGAGTGCAAACCTGATCTCTTTTGTCTCCATGCTTGGGCTAATTACAGCTCTGCCCACGATTCCTGTCCACATTCTCAGATTCAGAGCCACATAAACATTTAAGAAACAGGAAGTCTCTTTTGTAACAGCTCTCCTGGTAATATAAAAACAATATGTTCCCATACATTAACACCATAAGCAAAAAGAATATGCACAGCATCAATGACAAGAACCATTAAATGATAATACACCAGTGTTGGAAACAGAAGCTATTTCTTCTATTTAAATGTTCTTAAAAGAAATCTTACCAAGGCTGTATTTATTTGATCAAAAAAAGAAAAAAAGAATAGGCTATTTTTATTA